GATGAAGACGATTTTTTTCTCCTGATAGCAGTTCTGGCATTATGATTATAGGAAGATATAGGAGGGGGAGGCCACCATCTTGATTTCTGAAGTGCTGCCACTTGGCCTTGGAGTCGTCTTCAGGCTCCGACTCCTCCAGAGGAAGCAGAGGTGGGGGGAGCCGAGACTGTTGTGTCTTGTGTCTCTGGAGCCTCTCAGATGTCGCTGCCAAACGTCACACAGACTGCCTGCTCACAAGAAAACACCGCTGCCAGCCAGAACACATGCAGATTTCCCTGTGGTTCCATGAAGAACTGAAGTGAAATCAGAACTCACAGTGACATTTGTGTTAACACAAATTATCACAAATCCAGCCACCCAGCAAAGAAAATAAATATAAGAGATGTCGTTTTTTTGCATACTACCCTGTCTTGTATTTATACGCACTATATAAACTTTATTAAACTATATACATTTTATTAAATGATTTATAACTTACTATGTAGTCGTACTCAAACATAATGGTATCTTTAAGTATTTATTAGCAGGGATATCCCCAGAAATTTTTCATAGGAGTGGCTGAAAATCATATAAAGCAAAAGTCATACCTGAATTCAGGAATTCCATCATGCTGCTGTAGTATTTAGGCTAGTTGAAAACTATGTCAGTTTGCAGAGTTAAGGAATCGCATACTGATGTACTTTGATTTCTTATTTTACAGTTATTATTACTGATTCAAGTTCAGTTAGCATTTTTAATTCAACAACTATCCTGTTTTAATGTCCCATCTATCTTTACATGTTAGGGGGTTATTTGTGCTTCAAATAGGCTGGTTGTTGTTTTCCTGAAAAAGACAAATATACAGAATTTAAAGGAGCACACTAATTGTAAGGACCAAAACACTGACTGGCAACAAGCCCTCTCATGTCTAAGGGAGACTTATGGGTACCCATTAAACCCGTTTTTGTTCAGATATTTTCAAGAACCCCTTTGAAAATGGGCATGCAGTTGTTCTCTCACCAAAATGTAGCCTAAATTTAACCTCTTGCTAAAGACATATTTGGTACCCTGAGGTTGTCTTCTTTCAAAAGATTCCACTATTCTTGTGATAGTTTAAACAAGGAGCACACAACAGCCTCTTTAAACAGGCAGTTCTCACGAAATGTTCGTCTGTTTTCCTATGAGTAGTAATGCACCCAAAATTTGTACATGTCCCATTTTCAAAGGCTTCGATCATATAGCCAATGAAGCAGTCCTTGCTGGTCTTGTAAGGGGGCAGATTGGGTTAATGGGTGGGTAAAAAAACAGACTTTTCCCTGGAGTCACATGTTCAGAACTGTGTGAACTTTGAGTCACTTTAAGGTACGTCCTCGCCACGTTTCTTTTCCTAAACCTAACCACAGTTACTTTAACTTAATTATGTTAAACTGTTGTAAATGTTTTGTAAACTGTTTTATGAGAATACATTGCTTAAAAGCAGAGGGAGCCAGTGGGGGAGCCAGGAATCTTATCAGGGTGGCTATGGTCCACCCTGGCCCCCTCCTGGGGGCGCTACTGTTTATCAATGTATGGTATTTACCAGCAATAAGCTTCAATTGAGGCTGTATTTTCAACTTGGCAAGAACACAGCCTGTCCACATGGTATTTAAGTGGTTGTATCACAAATGATTTTGTATTAATAATATATAACTGCTCAGGAATAAAAAAAAATCTTAAACATTCCACAAAAGGTGTGTTATTTTTTTTAAATATATGTGTCATCTTTAAATTATTTTTGATGTTTACTGACAATATATGTGAATACAACATTCACAAAAAAGTTGCTTTCTCCACTCTTGAGCTCATATTCTTTCCTACCTCTCATCTGTCCACCCTATAATACTTTTTCCTCTCCCTCAGTCTGGCAAGACGACTTTCAGTTTCTCAAACAATCTTATTTTTTTTTATAATTATGTCAAATATTTACAATGCTATGATCTCAGTTCCTCAGTGAAGGGCGGCTTCTACACACACCCGGCCCTGTTTCCCTCCTGCCATCTCTTTTCTGACTCTCGTAGGACGCTTTCTATTTCCTCCAGCCGACGCGGAGTTAAGAGAGATCTCTTCTCCAATTCAATCACGCGTGTTTTCTTCACAGCAGCCTGTGAGTTGGAGCCAAGGGAAAACAAACCCGAGAATATAAAACCCATCTTTGAAACTGTCCCCAGATTCTGGAAGCCTTTCAAGTGTGCCATCTAGATTCATTTACTTCCCCTTTCATGTTAGAAATTTGGTTTCATCATGGCAATTAGCTCTTTCGTGTCCCAACCAATTATTCCATTAAATTAATGACTCTTCCAAGATAATAAGGGCTGTAATTGATTTCATCTGGGCAGCCAGGCTTCCTTCTTCTGCAGCTCCAGTGTGTCGTTACACCTCATTTAAAGGGGCTTTTCTACCATCTTGCCCTCATTAGCGGTTCATTGTACAGTGTGTGTCTGACAAGTGCTTCATCTCCTTACCCCCACACACACACTCAGCACACACACACACACACACATGGCAAATCAACATCGAAGCTGTGTAAAGTAATTTGTCAGACATTGCCTTTAATGGGATACACAGAGGGATCTGTGACACAAATGGGCATTTGTTCCTCCCTTTGTTGTTTCCTGTTTCCTTTCCATGCCCACCACCACCACTGTGCTGCCACCCGAGCCTCTCTTTGACGTTCTCTCTTCTTGCAATAAAAGAGGCGAACAGAAAGAAAATGAAATGTTCAGGCGCGGAAGATGGGTAGATGGGTGGTTGGGTGAAAAGGCGAGGAGTTTGGTGGTGTTGGAGGTGGTGGAGGGGTTAAATGAATCATTCATTAGGTCCACAGAGAAAGGGAGCGAAGGGAGAATGAGCATGAAGGAGAGACAGAGCAGCAGGAAGAGGAGGAGGAGGAGGAGGAGGTTGTTCAAAGGGGAACGCCACTGATTTTTCTGGCCCATCCACAGAAGCAGGAGGTCGGTCGCGGGGAGCCCAGGGGAGCCCGGCCCGTCTCCAGTGGGGAGACGGGCGTTCGGTTTGCTATAGACCCCCCGCCCCCCTCCTGCGTGCCCCCAGGCTGATAGGGTCGGCCTCCAGATCTCTCTAATGAAGCCCCTGGCCTCTTCACCGCAGGCTGGGCTGGAAATGCTGCAAAAAATGTCAAGTTATGAGATGAGTTATGAGATTTTTTTATCAGGTTTAGCAGAGCCTGTCACAGAATCACCATCTTCAGGTTTTTCTTCTTGTCATTCTACTGTTGCTCGGAAACATTTGTTCCCAACCTTGGTGTCCATTGAGACCCCTCATCACAGATTGTAGACGTCTGTTAGTTGCAAGCTCTTCAACCAGACTGATTACCCTCTCTCACATGATACTTTTTAGAGGTATGAACAGGTAGACCTTCTAAAACAAACAAAGATTAGAAGTCATGTGTTTGTCTTCTTACTTATGTTGATCCTTCTGCGATGCCTTATGATGCCACGTGTTCTTTTTTGATCGACATTTCCTAATAAAGTCCAGCATCACAGGTTTGTCCATCAACCAGCCCAGTCACCAGGAGAAAATGTTGGCATTTAATGTTTTTGAAAATCATGAATATGTTACATTTGTAAGTTTCAAAAGTTTGTAAAGTGATGTAATATATGAGCTGGCTTTTTCATTAGGAAGAGGAGAGGATGGTGGATGATGTGACAGCTAGGTGAAATGACCAAGCTACAGACTACTGCAGACTGTTCAAGACCAACAAACAACAAAACCAGTAGTTTTTTGGCAGTGTTCCCAGTGGCTTTCTTTCATGCCCACTCAATCCACAGACAGACATAGATTCTGGGTAAATGCTGACGAGCTTGTGTCAGAGCGGTAATCGACTCGATGATGAAATCACCCTTAAGATTCCACCCTCATTTTTTGCAGTGTTTGGATCTTCATCCTCACCTTCATCTCTTCATCCCTCCCTCCATCGTCTCTCCAGCAATGCTCTGCGGCTCTCCTTCCCACTGAGTCCCTCTGAGGAGCTGAACACACACTGAGAAAGGCCAAGGCGTTCTCTCCCTTGTGCGCATGCACTTACACACACACACACACACACACACA